CCCCAGGATCCGAAAATATGAAATAAAAAAATGAATCGAATACCCAAACGCTCGTATGGAATTATAATGGAAATAAAAAAATATAAAAAATTATATATCAATGAAAGAAAGCATGTCACGAGGTTCAAATTTACCGGGATATCTTTCGGTAAATGATGGCATGGGCTGTACTTTATTTTGATTTTTATCTCGGTTATCAAAATAAATTACGGAATGTTTACCTAATCGTGATGATTCGGAATGTGTTGAGATGAAACGTGGTAAATCCATGATGGTGTTTTTAAAATCCGTATATGCTATGGATGCTGGGGTGTTTTGTGCGGAGTTTTGTTTGATTATGGGGTCCAAGGCGTTGCGTGATGGGTCCGATCTTAAAATGGTATCAAATCCATTTCAAAAGTGGACCTTTTTTTTTATCCATTGGCAAGGTGCATTTATGGCGAATTTCATATTCATCCCGAATATGTGTTTCATTTGGGTTTGGTATACGGGTTAATGAATATTGTTTAAAATGTTCTGAATTTGATATAAAATTGTCGCATAAATTTCCTATATTGTTAAGAACCCCAATATGTTTTTTGCGATGGAAATGAAAATGGGGTGGTGTGGATAAATCGAATTGGGCCGCTGATCTTTTTATGGTTTTCCCCACAAAGCAATCTGAAATGAGTTTGGCTGTGTTATTTTCCGCGGGGTCTTTTTCATGAAGCCATCATCCGCATATGGAACGTCAAATGCTTCATTGGCTGGGGGTTTTATGGGCGATGTGTTGGGACGAAAAGTTCTGGCAAGGGGGGGATACATTTGGGGGCCGATCTTCCTTTATGGGAAAAAAAAAAGGCGATGGCAATGTATATATATATTGGCGCGAGGATTACTAACTTAATTTTGGTAAGAAATGGAAATTGAAAATATTTATTATTGGCGGATTCAAAGCATCATATCAAGATATAAAACCAAATGTGCTTAAATTTATTCTATTCTTATGAGGGGCATTATAGTTTATAAAATTAAAAAAAAAAGATATTAATATTCCAAAAAATCATTATTAAATATTATCATTCGGTTGTCATATTTTCTTCCTTTTTTATGATGGGGGTATCCCAAATCTTTGGAATCGGTGGAATACCGGATTTCATTTTTTGGATTTGCGGATTTTCCCTAGGCGATATCTTTATTTCTTTGGCAAACAATTCATCCATATTAGTGTTGAAGTCTTCGTTGATAGAAATGTTTTTTGGCTTGAAATATATATTAAAAAAAATTATGGTATTGACCAATAAATCAAATTTCCATTTGAGGTGTTTGATTCGTTTAATGTTGTTTGGGGGGTGTTTGGGGGGGTAAAGATTTCCATTCGAATCCTATTAGGGTAAAAATCGAAAACATTTGTTTTTTTGCGGTCCTATATGAAAAACTGTGCTTTTATCATTTGGATTTTTTTCTGGAATATCGGCGAATTCCTTTGGGAATTCTTCGAGATGGGTTCGATCCATCATAGTTTGATGGTTTGGTTGGTCCAAGATAGTTGGTTCTGGGGAGGCTTATTGCGCGATCTCATAAATGATGTGATTTGGATTTTGGTTTGCCATTTATTGAAATTTTATCCGGCGTTTAAAATATATTTGATATTTAAAAAGTCCGAAATAAGATATTAATCTTGGTTTTATAAAGAAATCAATAGTGGTGAAGGTGGCGTGGTGATTTGGCGATATGCCATATAGGTTTATATTCCGAGTTTTGTTAAACGCGCATAAAATATTGTTTTGGAAATCTTTTATTTTTGTTGTGGGTTTAAATTCGTGATATATCGGAGTGCGTTTTTTTTCCCTCTTGGACCATTTATTTTTTTTATTCGTTTTTTTTATGTAATTGTCATTCTTTTTATCTTTTTTTATTTTTTATTTGATATTTTAATACGATTTATGTTGTAATGTTGAACCGTCGAAACCCATTTAAGATTCGTCGGTATAACGAGCGGGATAAAGTTTTGGTTAAAAAAATCGACTGCTGAAACGAAATGATTCAGTTTATATTTCATAAATTTGAAAACCTTTAGATCTGCTTGAATTTTTTCCATATGTTTCCCTTTGGGTAGTAGGACCTCTAGATCAATCTTTTGGTAATTTCTGTTTGGTCGTATGTGAAATATTCTTTCTCCGTTGGGTGGGGAATTGTTTTCCTCTTTTTGCGATAGGAGGCTTCTCAAAAAGAGTTTGATTCTTTCATTTTGTTCTTCAATATTTGCGATTAGTGTAAGCTTTCTTCTTATGAGGTCTGTCATTGTTGGTGGTGTTTTAATTTCCTATGTGTCGTCATCTTTCTTCATTTGACATTCAATTATATCAATTTCCCTTTCAAATTCATCTATATTGATAACTTTCCATCTGTCTTTACTCAGATGTAAAACGTTTGGTGGCGCGTCGGCAAAGACAATGATGTGCGCATATGGTTTGTAGATAATCAAGCTTTCATATTTGGTGCAGACGATTATTTTTTGGTTTAGTTCCTCCAGGTATCCGTAACCGAGCCATCCGTCGCTGATCCATTTTCTTGGTGGGTCGCAAATTAGAAATTTTGGCCACAACCCTTTACTGAAATCATTTTGCAGTAGAAACTCGGCGTCTGCGAGTTTACCTGAGAATTTAATGCCTTTATATTTAGAAATAAGATAGAAAGGAATGATTTTCCGACGTTTCCAACTGATTCCCAGCACCAGCGGATGTCTCTTCCATTTGGAAATGTTTCGAAAATGTCGACGATGTGTTGTTGCCATGGTTTCCATATGACGTTTGAGTATTCTTTAACGATAC